ATCGGGTCCAAATCTAAATCTTGGACCCAAACACTATTTGGGTCCGGGTTTGGGTCCAATCGGGTCCGGTAATTTTTTTTGGGTTGCAATATATAAAGGGTGTGGTTTGTATAGATATGAGGTTCTAAACAATCAAAGTAAATCGCACCTTCAAATAGTGTTGAGAAATGTGATTTCAATGCTGGAAATCTTTGTGATAGCCTTAAAATATATTTTCATCTTTAATTATAGAGCAGTGATTTTATGCAACGATTGTATCAGCGTATAATGCAACCACACTTTTAGAAAATCAGGTTTATGGTATTTGTATGATCCAAAATTTTGCACACATACTTTTTTGATCTCAATAAGCAATCTAAAACAAAAAAAAAATTCAATTTGAACCCTAGATATTGTCAAAATGAGTTCCCTCCAACAACGAATCTAGACCATTCATTTCATGAATTTCAAGATCTTAGCATTTATAAACTCAAAATCATTTTTTTTATTTTTTTAACATTGTTTATCTAATGATAATAAATCCATCTAAAAAAAGTAGAAAAGAAAATTCCTTCTAAGGCCCAGATCTAAGCATCTCACCCAAATGGACGGCCTATGTTAATTGGATTAAAAAAATACTTTCTAGGTTGCGTTTTCAAATTTTTCTTTTTTGTGATTGTTCATAAGAATGAAAAGAGTGTATATTTCAAAAATTAGATCAAACAAATAGTTCTAACATGATTTTTGAAGATCGTTGCTTTATATTACTATACAACTGTTATATGAAATCACTGCCCTTAATTATAAAATTTAAAGCTTCAAAAATAGTTTCAATCGAGCAGATATATGAAAATTTGACAATCTTGAAAATTGACGGTAAAAAAATGTGTTATAAGAGTTCCAAAACCTGAATACCATTTTTTCTCATGTCCATGCATCTTGATGTCAAAATGATCAATTTGAGGATATTTGGGCACCAAAACAAAATCTTCTAGTGACTAATTTGATTGTTTAGAGTGTTGGCTCTATATAAACTTTTTTCATATGTAAAATATATTTAAATATAGTTAAATACATAGATATTTTAATTAAAAAAGGCTAAAATGATGATGATGACATAGATATTTTAATTTTTTGGTTAGGTCCAGTTGGGTCTAGGTCCCACAAATATTTTTGGAACCCAGACCTAACTCATTGCCACCTCTAGTGAAATATGGTAGCTTATATTTTTGGGACTCAGACCCGACCCGTTGCCACTCCTAATGAAATATGGTAGCTTGGGTGTGTCACAAAGTTCGAAATTTTTTTTTTTTAATTTTGAGCATGATCAATAGAATAAAAGTAGCAACCAATTCCACATTCAATAATTAAGATTAATTATGACCATCTTATAAACATTCAATAATTAAGATTAATTATGACCATCTTATACCAAAGATTAATGGTGTTATTGTATACTTTTCCATAACAAAAGTCAACTTGTGAAAGCCTAAGTGTAAGTAAGTTCTTTCCCAACCCCTACCCAACATCTCACTCATTTCTCTCGATAATAGGTGGAAGTTACATTTCCTATTTGACAAAATGCAAAACTTCATATAACCCTAAATTTCAGTTCCTTCATATTACCCACCCAAATGTGTAGAAAATGCTCGTCCCACTTAGTTTTGAACCTCAAAATTCGTTCATTTTCTTTTTCTACATTAATGCTAACAAGTTGCAACTTTGGGTCTCTAAGTTGGTTGTGTGGGTGGGGGGCAAGGGCCGCAACCATAACAACTAAAGGTTGGACTCCCAAAGCTTAGCCATCCGCCAAGGAGAGCGAAGAAAAAAAAGAAATAACATATACTATGCTCTAGCCGGAGCATAAAGTACACTTACTCTCTTTGGGCGAAACACTTGTTTAAGAAGTTTCTTATTTATTTATTTATTTATTTTATTTTAAAAATTTGGAATCTTTTTAAAAAATCATAAGATAATTATTTTCAATAAAACATATAGATTTTGAGTTCTTCAACACTTAGAGTTTACCTCTAAGAATTGGATTGTCTCTATTCAATCTTATGATGTTATTATTTTAAGAACGTACCTAGTAAGACTTGAAAATTTCTTTTTGTCAAATTAGTCATTTAAGTTGAAGAGTTCGATATCCTCTAAATTTGGAATGCTAGAAATATCGGTTTTCCCAAGGGAATAAATGAATGGTATACTCCCCAACAGCACTAAATTTTTGACAAACAATATAAAAATTTCATTTTAGTACGGGTGCGGTTTGTATAGAGCATAGGTGCTAAACAATCAAATTAGAGCCTACCTTCAAATAGCGTTGAGAAATGAAGTTTCAATACTGGAAATATTTGTGATAGCATTAAAATATATTTTCATCTTTATTTATGAAGTTTAAAGCTTAAAAAATAGTGTAGATCGACAGATATGTGAAAACTTGAAAATCTTGAAAATTGGCGACCCAAAAATGCGTTACAAAATACACTATTTCCAAAACTTGAAATCCATTTTTTTCTCATGTCCATTCATCTTGATGTCGAGATGATCAATTTGAAAATATTTAGGCATCAAAACAACATCTTCTAGTGAAATTTTTGTGGTAGGCTCCAATTTGATTGTTTAGAGCCTCGGCTCTATGTAAACTTTTCCCTTTTACTATAGGGGTGCGGTTTGTATAGAGCCCAAGCTCTAAACAATCAAATTAGAGCCTACCTTCAACTAGTATCGAGAAATGTGGTTTCAATATTGAAAATATTTGCAATAGCCTTAAAATTTATTGGTATCTTTATTTATAAAGTTTAAAGCTTCAAAAATAGTGTAGATCGATAGATCTATGAAAACTTGAAAATTTTGAAAATTGACAGTCCAAAAATACGTTACAAAATACGTTATATCCAAAACTTGAAATCGATTTTTTTTCTTATGTCCATACATCTTGATGATCAATTTAAAGATATTTGGACATCAAAACAACCTCTGCTAGTTAAATTTTTGTGGTAGGCTCAGATTTGATTGTTTAAACTTTAAAGCCTCGGCGCTATATAAACTTCTCCCTTTAATATATAATAAGATATGTCGATTGATTGATTGATATTTTCAGTACTTACCCATAAATGAAGAGCATGAGAGATGGTTTTAGCATGGAGAAGAGAGATGATTTGAATTAGGGTTGATGCCTATATCTCTCTCTCTAGATTTGAAGTCTTCCTAGTGTCAAAGTTGAGTTGCATTCTCTCTCATCTTTCAACGGTAACGGAGTCGCATGTCAGCAAATATGAAACGGATGACAGTGAGGCTTTTATTCAGCTGTCCACACATGGTCCCACCACACAACTAGGGAAACACCTCACAAAGGGAAACATGAGGGGCCATTCCTTTTTTTTTTTTTTTCCTTTTTTAAGTCTCTCTGCATAATTGCACTTACAAATTAGCAAATCCATTCCCATGTTTATGCGTATGGAACTTATCTCTAGAACTAAAAATGACAAAAATACCTCTAATTCGTCTAACATATTGATTAATAATTGGGTTTAGGCTCGAGTGATTTGCGGTTGGTTGACAATAAGCAATGCTATATCTCAAGTTTGATTCCTACCTAAAATAAGCGTCTTGATTATGTGTGTATTATTTGAGTATTGTGAGTATACCTTTAGCTAGTGTTCATTGCTATATATTTTTTTTACAGGTTTGTCATTATCTTGTTACACTCATGAATTTAATAATTGACGAATGAGCTACTCGTGAAGATTTTTTTGATATGAAGTTTTCAGATCCACCGAAAAATCACCATATGATAATTTTTTAAAAAATAACGGATTTTAATTTTTCAGTACTTGATGTTACTGTCCAAAAGTTGGGCGATCCTTGTTCAATCTTGGGGAATATTTTTTTTTCCGGACAAGGATTTGAGATGAGCTTTTATTTTGTTTTCATAAAGCCTAGCCGTACAGAAACATCATCTTCAATTTTTTTGCTCCGACTGTGTCTTAATGTTGATCTTGAATTGGGTTACTTATTTTTAGATTTAGTAATTTTCTCCTAAGAAACACCTAAAAATAAACACAAATTTACACAATTTTAAAGTCCGATTTTATGATAAAAGTGCAAAATAATCACGTATTTCTTTCTTGAAATGTTTTTGGTACCATGAAATTTATCAACTTTCTCTCATCAAAACCAAATTAATACAGGTTCGTGACCCTGTAGATTACTGCAATTAATCTATTTGCTAATTTTGATTGATCAAATGGTGGTGTCTCATCATTTTTAGTAACGTCAAAGATTTTTCCTAACTAATTGGGGTCAGCTATACGAATCCTGGTACGCTCTATTAAAAGCAATACCATAATGAGGCCATAAGTACTTAAATCTTTTTTCGCTACTTTCAACTATTTCATTTTGGCTCTACCCGTTGCCGTTTTTAAGCCTTCTAGTTGAACGAATTTACACCTAACAGGTGCAATATTGGGTCTACGCCATACATGCACAACACATTTAAGTCTACTCTATCTCATCTTATCGCATATTAATGCCACATCTAAATTTTTCCGATGTAGTCATTTTGGGTCTCACATTTCTCCAAAAAGCGTTGATATTTATTTTTGGCCAAATTATGCAAAAAAAAAAAAGCACAATACATTTATTAAAAAATAAATTTAATAACGTACACAACCATACATGGAGCACATGATAAAATCCATGAATTATGAGACATACTTTCATAGCACCTCCTACTACAAGTTCAAAAGAGGCATGTTTGCTATTGTCTTTTTATGATCAAACACCCTTTTGTCACATTTCCTAATCCCAGTTTTAAAAAGGAGTTTTTTTGTAAGGAAACCTTTGTGCACCCTCTAAATAAAAAGAAAGAAAAAAAAAAAAGAAAAAAAAAGCAAATAGGGGCATTACGTTATTTTCTCCAAGGGTATAATAGTCATTTAAAAAAATCACTGTTGTAGAATCAAAAAACGGCGAGTATCCTTTGCCTTTTGCGAATTTGGGTTGAAAATGATGCATGCGACGCCGAGATCCTCTCCTCACTGTCAGAATCAGAGACACGCTTCTTCCCGTTCGCATCCAAACGTTGGATATAATGGCCATTTTCTCTCTCTACATTTTCTTTCTCTATATTTTCTCTGTCTAGCCGCTTCTGGCGCTGATACCCAAGCTCTTGGGAGTTCTGGTTCGGATTCCTGGAAGAGGTATTCTACTGTTTTCGTACCTCGGTACTGGACTTTCTCTCTCTAGAATGATTTCGATGATTCAGTGGTGGATTTTGTTTCTCGCTCCTCGGTTCTTTATGGGTTTTTTCTAGGTTTGGATTTCAATGTTTTGTTTTTGGTATGCATGGGTTTTGATACAAGGGAGTGAGTTGATCAGAGAAGATCCATGCTTTGTGAGAAGTGTTACAGGGTACCATAGAGCTGAGTTTTTGTGTGGGGGATGTGAATTCTTTCTTACGTTTATTGGTAGTATTTTCTCTCTCTAAAAGTCTCTGTTTTGAGTTTTCTTCCTTATTTAATCTTTGTAGTGTGGGAGATTGAAGGGGTTTTGTGGGCTTTATTGTGCTGTAGATATTGTTATCTAGCTCTTGCACACACAGGGGAAACACACTATACCCGTCTTTTAAAAGAAATGGCCAATCTATTAGAAGACACCAGAAGGAGGTTTACTGAAATAGAGTCTTCGAATCTAGGGTTCCTGATGAACATAGAGAGTAGGAATCTGATGGGGAGTCTCTATGGTGGTGAATACAAACTAATTTGTGTGTTCACTCTATTCTTCTTTCTCTGCTTCTCAACTCTCTGTAGTTCACATGACTTCAATTCGGTGATTAGTGAGCTTTATGTGCAATATCTTATAATATTACATGACTGCTGTAATCTTTTGATGAATGAGTGATATCCTTCTCTTATGGAGGTTTGTGAGCTTGTGGTTCTGTTGCGGAAAGACCCACCAAAAAAAATTGAATGTTTCACTGATTGTTTGCCTTGGACTGGGACCTGATGAATGATAAACTCTTTTTTTGACAAATAACCTCATGAATTATAAGTTAGATTGGTGAATCAATCTTTAGCTGACACAGTTAATCATTCTTGATCACATAAGTCATCCAATTTTTTGGGCTTGTTCTGTGAACTGGGCATTATTTTACTGGAGCTTTTTGTATTTACAGCGGTCTTTGTGAATCTCAGAGACCACCTTCTCGTTTTTTAAATCTTATGCCTTGCTGGGATTAGATTTTTAAAAAATTGGGAACCCACATTTTACAGCTTAGATTGGTGAATCATGCATTGCTGCATGCATTTTATGATAACTTAAATCTAGCTCTTGTAGATTATGTGGGAGTAAAGCATGAATCACTTTTACTCACGGTGGTGCATCACTTGTTCTTGTGCTGATTGTGTGCGTCTCAGAGACTTATTACCATAATCTGATGCTTTGCTTGGATTATTTTTTTAGCAGGACATGGATAAAATCTCCCAAGACTGCCCCTACCCCGGATGCTTCTTCTGTGTCATGAAAGAGGGGAACCCAAATAAACGCAGAGCAAGTATAATGAAATTCTTCAGAGAACTACCTTCTCAAGACGACGATGGCCAGGTTCTCCCCATAAGTGGCCTCTGGAACACTGCAATGGCTCATCCCAATGACCCCGAATTCATTGACTTGGGCATATTTGAGTGCATGGCCGCTCTTGTATGGAAAGGCTTAAAGAATAGAAGGTGGCTCTCTCATGACCAAAATGTTTACATCCCATATTATGCAGCCCATATCATTGGGTCATACACCATGAACATGGAGGACTTTGCAGAGAGTGCTGTCCATGCTGGTGTCATTCCCCCCTTGGTCGAGCTTCTTAGAGGGAGGTTAACTTGGGTGGAGCAAAGAGTAGCAGTTCGAGCCCTAGGTCACCTCGCTACCTATCCTAGCACTTTCCCTGCTGTTGCTAGTCATGGAGAAGTTCTTGAACTTTCTATTCAATTGGCTTTGAGCTCCCTTGAAATTGTGTATACCCATTTTTACCAATTAGTTGACAGAAGACCAAGTTATCATTGTGATTTGCTTACTCGCGGAATGGGTGGTGTTGAAATGGAGTCTAGGAAGGCAGAAGAGTGGGCGAGCCAGTTGCAGTGCTGGTCTCTTCAGCTTATTAATTGTTTTGCTTTCAAGTCTGAATTTCTCCCTATTGTATGCAAGCCCGAGCTTTTGATGAAGCTTCCGGGCATGTGGGGTGGGCTTGTAAATGAGAATTCGCCTGCTGGAATTGGTTTGTTGAGGACAATTTGCCACCATAAACTTGGTAGGGGGCCAGTTGCGAACTGCCCTGGTGTTATTGAGGCTCTTTGCAATATTGCTCGATCATCAGATGACTGGCAATATATGGCTATTGATTGCCTTCTTTGGTTGCTTCAAGATCCAAACACTTGTCATAAGGTAAGATTGACTGCCTTTTAATTTTTCAATCCTGCATTTTTCTCCCTTGTAATATTTCTTTCTCATTGGGGTTTTCGGAGATATTGTTTGTTTTGAGGTGGGATGGATGAGGGCCCATGCATGTGGACCCAATGATCATTAATGATCTCCAGTTAAAAAAAAAAAAAACAAAAGAAAGAAACAAAGATTTCTCAACACTTGTAACGTACTAACCCAAATATTACAAGATTATTGATATCCCTTGTGACCTTGAGCCTTTAGATCTAGCCAAGTTCACGGCCATACAAGTTAATATTTATCACATTCGAGCACAACATAAAACAACCGACTATCAAAGAAACAGAAAAAAAAGGACTATATAGAACGACTTTTGTCAACAAGTTAGTCTTTAGTTTTAGGACATTATAGTGGCCATGTTACTTACCCACTTTTATCTTGAATTCTACCGTATAATTTTCAAGTTCACAAATATCTGGTTATGCCCCAAATTCATGTTGCATTTATAATTATTTGGTTGTTCAGATGGTCGTCATTGTGCGGATGGCTTTCAAAGGTTTATTTTGCTTTTTCTCTTTACGGGATTGTTTAAAGTATACCTTTTTAAATAAGAGCCGATTGGTCCACTCAAATTCATGATAATCCATATTTCATGGACACAGATACGTGCAGAAGTGTGAGATAGAGGTATGGAGTGTCAGATTTCTCATTCCTTGAAGAGCAAGATTCAGCAACAGGACTATATTATAATATAGATTAATGAAATCTGACATTCTTTTCTAATATACTATTTTATGTAGCAAAATCTCAGTTTTGCCATTGCTGATTTATATACAATTTTCAAACTTCAAATTGTCCACTTTAAACATAAAAGATTGAACTCTAAATCAATGATGTAGCCAATAATCACCATAAAAAGAGAATCCAAAAGAATCTATGTTGGTAGTGCATATTTGTTTTTGATAATGTTAGCCTTTAATTTAAGAAAAAGGAGTACAAAACCTTGGCTTACCACAAAAAAGGTGCTCATGGATAGGAAAAAAGAAAAAGAGAAGTGGAATCGAGCCTCTTTCAAAAAGTTACTGTTAAAGGATGGCAACCTAAGAAAAGGGGCCGCTCCAGCATACAAAAAAAGTAGAAAAAAGAAAAACAAAATGAAGAAAACTCCTAGTGACTGTCCATCTCCGCTGCTGCTTTTGCAAGGGAATTAGCTTCCTGGTTTCCTTCCCTCCAGGTATGCGTCCACGACGAACGTATTCCTGCAGAGGTTATGAATGTGATCAACTGAATGAGCCAAAAACCAGGGGGGTGGGGGAGGTTACATGGTTTTTGTTGGTAGTGCATATTAAGAAACGAAAAATCTAAGTTGGTAGTGTGTCTAACACCAGTGCAACACCCAAAGAAGAAGCCATGTAATTGGTAATCCACCCATTCACACTGTCAGTAGTCACCTTCACCAGACTGTCCCATTCATAGCAATAACATTAAAACCAAAAATATCAATAAAGTTATCTCAATAGCCGTGATGAGAAAAGTTCTAATTCCTTATGTGAGATCCTAATCCTGAACTTGAACTCGCAAAGACTTGTAGAGAGTCCTTCCTCTACCTCTCTCAGAGTGAGCAAAGCCCAAAACCCTCCTTCCATATTTAAACGTTACAATGAGAAAACTGAATCTAATTCTTGAAATGCATAAACTCCCAAAAGATACTTGCTCCAAAATTTCGAGGTCATAGAAAATAAACCCCAGAAAACTCCTCTCTCCAAAAAATTGCAAAACCAATATTTAAAGAGTAATGAATCCCAAATTCAATCAAAGCTGGAAGTCATCTGTATCCCCCGAGAGAGATCAGCTTTATAAACCCTTTATTCTCTCTCTCAAATGATAAGTTTGAAGGCATTGGAGACATAAAAGGGGAGTTTTAGTTCTATAAAAGGTTACGGAAGGAAGGGAAATGAAATTAGGGAGGAGAAAAGTTTTGAAAATTTGGGAGACATGCAAAGATAACTGGAAGTGGAAGGACCGCTTATGGTGATCAGTTAAATGGCATAAACAAATGGATGATTAAAAATCTGAGTGGTTGAATCGGCTTCCTTCTAAAGAGACGAAATACTGTATAGAAGATTGATCTTATGTTTTTCTAGTGGGATAGTAGAAAGTTAAAAACATATGTTTCTTTTCTTTTTGGCTGATATAGTTCACAGGGCTAAAGATATTTGGCTATTAAACTTCATGCCAAGTGTAGTTTCTATTTTTCTGAGGCCTTGAGGCTGATGAAGATTACAACTACAGTAATTGCAAAGCATTTTAGTGCACTGTATGAATTACTTCTTAACCACAGAATGGAAACAATAGACATGTTGGGGAAGTTATTTGCTGGTGTCTGATGCTGATAAGATTACAAGAGAGATTGGACCGGTGTCTTAGAACTCTTCAAGTCAACTTGGGACTCAACTGAGTCAAGTCCTGAATGAACTCAACTATGCAGCTCGGCAAGTCTTATGGTTTATCATGAGGCTCACGAGACTTACTGTATTATCTTTTTTCTCAAGATTCTCACCCCGAGTATTATTGAGACTCTACCAAGTTGATGCAACATGGGTTGGCTCGGGACCTGGTCGAGTCCTGAACGAAGTCAGAGTTCAAAAGCATTAGATTAAAGCGATGATGATTTTGTAATGCAGTATGGCCACATGTGTCATGCCACACTCTGCTAGGCTTGTGTATTGCATAAATACATGCATCCAATATCTGTGTGGGCAGGCTTGCCTTTCTTTTTTTACTCAGCTTTTGCTCTCAAGTGACCACTATGAGTATATTCATATATTTTTTTTAATAGTTATGTCATTTCATATTTCCAAGATTCCTTGTAGCATCTGGTCAGTAACAATGTCAACACAGTAGATTACTGTTACGCTGAGCCTTAACAAGTTTTAGTGTGATAGAAGGAGCTATCTAATGATGTTGGTTGAGAAGGGCGAACAGTAGAAGATTGAAGGTTTAGCAAGGTGTCTAGCACGGTGTATATAGTTTTTAATTTTTCTTTTTCTCACCGACTGGAACACTTGCAAAGGTCCAAATAAAACTTACTTGCAATAAACAAATAGATAACCAAAAGTGTTTTTCACTTGCTGCCACTAAATACAACTTCTTTTATTTAATGAATAAAACCAACACAATGTTTATTGGAATAAAAAAACATAAGAAATAAAATACTGCAAACTACAAAGCAAGATGTTGGAAGATTACCTCAATCGGACTTAGTACACCCCACACCGGGTCTTCTCCTCCAATGGTGCATACGATCAATGGTCTATCTTAGATCTTTGAAGCATGGGAAAGCCTTGGCTATAACCCTTAATCAATATGAGAGCAACATGGAACATCAAAAAAGCTACAACGCCTCAATACCTTGTATGTGTGGGGCGTGCCCCCTCTTTACTCCTAGCTCGGGGTGTGCCCCTATTTCTAACTCAAAAAATATTTTTGTAAGGGAGAGAGAGATTTGAAAGAGAAGTGAGAGAGATGAGAGGTGTAGAGATTTATGGGAGAGAGAGCCCCAATTTATAAAGTTTTCAGGGGTTAGGATTTCTTCAGGGTTAGCCATCCTTATGGAAATTAGATCCATACCATTAATCATATGAAACTTGTAGGGTGAGAGAATATAATGGGATCTCTAACAATCAGATATGACTGTTAAACTACTTGTGTTGGCTTGACTTGGAAATTGATTACAGGTCAACTAGCTTTCTAACGGGCTATGTCCCGGCTGCTACTAGGTCTCTAAATGGGCCTGCCTATATCATGGGTGGTTAAGGATTAACGAATGCAGAATTTGAGCTACTCAATCCTTAGATCAGCCATCATGATTCAAAGGATGATGCATAACCTTATCATTCATCTTCATAAACTTGTATTTCATCAAATATAAAATATGGACAATATAAAATATCTATTTTTATATAAATCTCTTTTTATTTATACATATTCCTTTTAGAAGTCCAATCTCCTTAAGATTTCATAAAACATATCTTGTTAATTGTTTCCATTCCTTGCTCATCAAGGGATATCAAAACAAAAGGACTACCCACTTTAAGTGGGAGGTGCCACCCATGTAAACCACGGGTGGTCCCCACGCACATCCACATAAGGATTTAGGGTGGGCCCCCATATTAAATATGAATTATAAAATTATCAAATTGATTTTTAGAAAATGGGAAATAAACTTTATTTTTCTTTGAATATTTAAATACAGAAAATTGAATATCTCTTAATTTAAAATATCAAGAGACTCATAAAAATTCATATAAGCAATCAAAAAATCATATAACATCAAAATAAAAAAAAACAAATAATTTTGATAGCTACGGGATCCATCTAGGTCTAGGAATTTATAATATCGCTGAAGCACTCCGTCTTCTACTGTGGACTATAATTCACACTTGCTTTCTCAAACTGACCCAGCAGTTCTCTTGACCCACAGACCATCGTTGGGGTTCATGATTGGGATATCAAAGTCAGCCAAATAGGTAAGCGGGCACAATCCCATTCTATGGATTACAGGTTCTCCCTTAGAGACAAACCCATGGTCACTTAGACCGGATTCAATCATAGCTTTATGCTGCATAGGGGTAATCTCTTGTACATGTACATGCTTCACCATCAATGGTGGTTCGGTTTCCTGATATGGCTATCATGTGTACATGCCATGTGATGGTTCAGTGATGAGTCTTTGACTATCGTCTCTAGAGGCTAACCATCACACACAGGGGCCGCACAATCCCTGGGCTCACTCTCCTTGGCAACTCCTACCTCATCAAGGGATAACCCATAAACCCTCCTCGATTTTGTTCCATGCGCAAGCAATAAGGGTTTTCCAACTCGACTGGCCTAGCACGTCAAGCCAAGTTTGAGTATTGAGAAAATAGCATTTGCCTATCTCGGTCCCTCTAGACCACAATCTTGTGGTCCCTCTGGACCATACTCCCATTGGAGTTCTTTGTTCCACTATATTCGATATATGCTCTCATAAGGCCTTCAATAGCCACAAAAACCCAACAAAGAGGTCATAAGTTGATGAAGTCAGGAACTGGAACATGAGCTATAGAGGATGTAAAAAAGGAATTTCTCAAAATCATTATTAAGGCTTCTTAAAGGGATTTGGACCTCACGGATTAGGATATGGGTGTTTTGAATGGTGGCGAACTGGTGGTGGCGAGCTGGTAATAAATAACTGCAAAGTTATTAAAAATATTTAGCTAGAAACATGTCCTTTTCCAATTTGTTGAAGCATGAGAGTATATCCTAAGCACTTCAACATTAGAGAGATCTGAAGCTAAATATATTGACAGTTGGGGTGAGAAAAAGATAGAGCTGACCAATGACAAGATGATCAAAAGTTACCATTTAATGTCTTGGGGATTAGATTCAACCTAAATTAAAGTTTTATCATGAGAATGATGGAGAAAAAAGGTAAGAGAAGAGAGGAGAAATGGACTCATTGAGATGATGAATAGTGAAAAGTCAAGACAAATTTAAAATTTGTGGGTTTCCATGGAGAAAAGGTCCTTTATTTCTCAAGAAACTAAGTGAGAGGAGAAGCAAAGAATGGATGAAAGAGGTATTTAAATTTTGGATTTATGTTTTAGATAGAGTAAGTTGGGTTTGAAAAGGAAAAGAGTATTGGTGAGAGATGTGGGTAGGAGAAAAAGAAAAAATTGGCAAAAGATGAAATATGGATGAAAAGAGGAATGGAGTTAATGAGGAAAATGTATGTGTTAGAAATAGTGAAAACAAAAGAGAGGTAGAAATAGTGATGAGAGAGAAGATATTGATGTTGGGGATTTATAATTATGGAAAGAAAAATCTGATTTCAACTAGAACCCATCTTGAATACATTGATTGGGGGTATCTCTTGATCAACTTCGCCTTGGCTAGAGCTATTCATCTCACAATCCTAACGTCATTTCTTTTGTTTTAGATCTCCCTCTACTATTAAAGGAGTTCCAAATTCTCTTTATTTGCTTGTTTTCCCCAAGTATGGAAATAGTCCTGGGTGTAGCCAATGGAGAAGTCAAGGCTCTTCTTCCAATCGGTATATTAGTCATGATTCACCTAATAAACTTTGCTTACCAAGCATGGCAATTGTTGTTGTATTCCATTACTGTGTTTTCTCCAGTTTAATAAGTATTATCAACATAAAACAAAACAAAATTTGTTTTGTTGATTGGGCATCGCCGTAGACAATGCCTTTCTGCTATAAGATTCTCTGCGTATCTTGGTCCTAATGTGATTTCTTGAAGTATCAAGGAACAACACATGGTTTTCTATTGCTGAGGTAAAATTTCGGTTCATGGTGAGCACAACTATGGTGCTTCTCTGACTGTGCTATGCTCTTTGAGGTTTGGATTTTCTCATGTTCCAAATGTCTATGCTACATTGTCACAACTCCAAGATGTCTCAGCATCAAGCTAAAGATCAGCTTGCAGACCATCGTTGGGGTTCATGATTGGGATATCAAAGTCAGCCAATAGGTAAGGGGGCACAATCCCATTCTATGGATTATAGGTTCTCCCTTAGAGACAAACCCATGGTCATTTAGACCGGATTCAACCATAGCTCTATGCTGCATTGGGATAATCACTTACACATGTACACGCTTCACCATCAATGGTGGTTCGGTTTTCTGATATAGCTATCATGTGTACATGTCGTATGATGGTTTAGTGATGAGTCTTTGACTATCGTCTCTAGAGGCCAACCATCACACACAGGGGTCACACAATCCCTGGGCTCACTCTCCTTGGCAACTCCGACCTCATCAAGGGATAACCCATAAACCATCCTCGGTTTTGTTCCATGCGCAAGTAATAAGGGTTTTCCAACTCGACTGGCCTAGCACGTCAAGCCAAGTTTGAGTATTGAGAAAATAGCATTTGCCTATCTCGGTCCCTTTAGACCACAATCTTGTGGTCCCTTTGAACCATACTCCTATTGGAGTTCTTTGTTCCACTATATTCGATATATGCTCTAATAAGGCCTTCAATAGCCACAAAAACCCAACAAAAAGGTCATAAGTTGATGAAGTCAGGAACTGGAACAAGAGCTGTAGAGGATGTAAAAAAAAAATTTCTCAAAATCATTATTAAGGCTTATTAAAGGGTTTTGGACCTCACGGATTAGGATATGGGTGTTTTGTATGGTGGCGAACTGGTGGTGGTGAGCTGGTAATAAATAACTGTAAAGTTATTAAAATATTTAGCTAGAAACTTGTCCCTTTCTAATTTGTTGAAGTATGAGAGTAATTCCTAAGCACTTCAACATTAGAGAGATCTGAAGCTAAATATATTGACAGTTGGGTTGAGAAAAAGATAGAGCTGACCAATGACAAGATGATCAAAAGTTACCATTTAATGTCTTGGGGATTAGATTCAACCTAAATTAAAGTTTTGTCATGAGAATGATGGAGAAAAAAGGTAAGAGAAGAGAGGAGAAATGGACTCATTGAGATGATGAATAGTGAAAAGTCAGGACAAATTTAAAATTTGTGGGTTTCCATGGAGAAAAGGTCCTTTTTTTCTCAAGAAACTAAGTGAGAGGAGAAGCAAAGAATGGATGAAAGAGGTATTTAAATTTTGGATTTATGTTTTAGATAGAGTAAGTTGGGTTTGAAAAGGAAAAGAGTATTGGTGAGAGATGTGGGTAGGAGAAAAAGAAAAAATTGGCAAAAGATGAAATATGGATGAAAAGAGGAATGGAGTTAATGAGGAAAATGTATGTGTTAGAAATAGTGAAAACAAAAGAGAGGTAGAAATAGTGATGAGAGAGAAGATATTGATGTTGGGGATTTATAATTATGGAAAGAAAAATCTGATTTCAACTAGAGCCCATCTTGAATACATTGATTGGGGGTATCTCTTGATCAACTTCGCCTTGGCTAGAGCTATTCATCTCACAATCCTAACGTCATTTCTTTTGTTTTAGATCTCCCTCTACTATTTTGTTTTAGATCTCCCTCTACTATTAAAGGAGTTCCAAATTCTCTTTATTTGTTTGTTTTCCCCAAGTATGGAAATAGTCCTGGGTGTAGCCAATGGAGAAGTCAAGGCTCTTCTTCCAATCGGTATATTAGTCGTGATTCGCCTAATAAACTTTGCTTACCAAGCATGGCAATTGTTGTTGTATTGCATTACTGTGTTTTCTTCAGTTAATAAGTGTTATCAACATAAAACAGAAGAAAATTTGTTTTGTTGATTGGGCATCGCTGTAGACAATGCCTTTCTGCTATAAGATTCTCTGCGTATCTTGGTCCTAATGTGATTTCTTGAAGTATCAAGGAACAACACATGGTTTTCTATTGCTGAGGTAAAATTTCGGTTCATGGTGAGCACAACTATGGTGCTTCCCTGACTGTGCTATGCTCTTTGAGGTTTGGATTTTTTCATGTTCCAAATGTCTATGCTACATTGTCACAACTCCAAGATGTCTCAGCATCAAGCTAAAGATCAGCTTGAAGGGGACTATATAAGTAATTTGATATCTCTTCTATGATCATCTTTATTATTGTTTAGGCCTTTCGGACTATTATGTTGTTTCGTATGTTTTTTATACATGCTATAATTTGGCAATACTAGAAGTTATTCTATACTCTGAATCGTAGATGTTGGGTTGGGGAGTGGGAGTGGGAGTTGGAGTGGGAGTGGGAGTGGCAGTGGGATCGGGAGATCATGAAATGGTAGAACCATACAATGCATATGTTAAGGATTGAGATCCCCCAAGTGTAAGGGATCTCAATCCCAACCTTTGGGCAGTGTTACCTAGACACGTGTCGACATGCATGGACATGGCCCCGACACTTGTACTATATGTATCGGGCATTTGACAACTTGTTTATTACGTATCGACTTCTCACAGAGGTGTTGAATTTGTAGAGATGCCATGTCCTATTTTTTATGATAAAACTTATTGCACACGCCCCTCTATACTAGGTGACATCAAACTCTAAGACCACCAATGTTGTACCACATGGTCCCAATCATTAAGTTCAAGGAAATGGAAATTTTTATATAAGATAATGTATACTAGGGTGCTAGCAATATTAACAGTAACATCTGGAGGTTGGAGCCAGTGTTGTCAGATTCGCTTTAGAGCCTTCTTCACTTTGGTTGAAAAAACGAAGCAATCCGGTGCTTCGTCCAATTCGGAGGAAGACTTTAGAATTCTTTTTAAAATTCAATATAATTAAAACATATATTTATATATAAAAATATATTAAACTAATAAAAAATAAAAAATTAAAAAAATAGTTAAAAAAGACGATTATGTGCTTCGGCTGAAGGCACTGAATCAGTTCAAAGTGGCCCCAAGCAAGCCGAAGCGGATGCCCTGGATTGTGCCAAATCGACCAATACTTTGTTCTCTTGTTATATTGTGGGTCTTCTCTTTTCTTGGTTCACTTATTGAATTGTCAGAGTAACCTTTTGGTATTCGAATAAAAACTTCTTAATTTAAAAGAATCTTCAGTTAAACTATTGAATTAATAAATTAAGCTAAGGTTTAGGAAGTATAAAAGGAATTAACTGCTAAATTAAGCCTTCCCATGAAGGGGAAGTCGACTTTTGTGCACTGTTTACATGTTGTCAATGACTTTGAAGGGGGGACTGCGCATCCCTTATGGATTGATGTCATCATGTGTAAAGCCCACATCTTAAACAACACTTACAAAAGATTTTCAAGGGTTCGAACAAATTTTTTTTTGAAACTGGTTTAAGTTAACAATTCCCAAAGTTCATATATGGATACCTGCATGCAAATCTGTGTTAGGTCTATGCATTTATGCATGCCCATCTGTATTCATCATGATATAAAAGTACATGGCATTTCTAGAATTCTACATATCATTTTTTAATGTTTTTTTCCTATTTGGATAGGTGATAGACAAGGCAGCACCTGCACTCATTGATTTAGCAGAAATTTCAACCCTTGGTGATCATAAGAAACTTGGGGAGTCTATTGTTAATGTTCTTCAAGAGTGTGTCCAATCAATGGGAGCAGGGCGCAACTCGCTTAGTCCCCGAACAAAAGAGCAGCTTGATGAACTTGCAAACTCAAGGAAGAGATTGAAATGGGAAAAGAATATGCCAAAGGAGGACCTCCACATTAAGCAAGCAGCAGCACTAGTTGTAAAACTCGAGGGAAATTCTCTATTTTCTTCAGGAAACTTTGCAGGGGCAGCCTCTAAATATTCGGAGGCATTAGCACTATGCCCCATGAAATCCAAGAAGGAGAGAGTTGTATTATATAGTAATCGAGCTCAATGTCATCTCCTACTTCAACAGCCTTTGGAAGCAATAAGTGACACTACCCATGCATTGTGTCTTCACAACCCGCTTAATCGCCATGCTAAAAGCTTATGGAGAAGAGCACAGGCGTATGACATGTTGGGTTTGGCTAAAGAGAGCTTATTGGATGCCATTTTGTTCATTAATGAATGCTCTCAATCATCTGATCCAGACCTTTCTCTGAAACAAAACAAAGTTCCTGATTATGCTGAGCGTCTGGTCAAGAAGCAGATGCGTGCTGCTTGGCTATTTAGAGAAGCAGCTCTGAAGCATGGGGGTGTGCATTGTGAGGGGGATGATGGTGTTGTGTATGGAAGAGACGCCGACGATTCTGAATGGGAGACAGCAAGTGAAAGTGAAATTGGGAATGATGGGAGGGTTGATGCTGTTGATGAGGATAGTGAATGGCAAAATGATGATGAAGGGAAAAATAAGTATGAGAAACCGTCAATGAAAGGTATGCATATTTGATAATTTGGGTTATTTGAAGATAACTGTTGGGTTTGTTAATCACCATGATTCCATAATGAATGGTGATGGGGGGGAGAGAGGGGTGACCATGTCACGTTCTTGTGCATACCAATCTCTCTCCATCTCGAACTATTTTCTAACAGCAATGACCCAAACAAAATTTTGTATTGGATTACAATATCATTTTCTAGGTTTGCATTTCCATTGAGCGTTATTTTTCTTATCGCATTGCACATGAAATTCTCTGTTACAGTACTAAAGGGTCATGAAACAATATGAATTGTGTAGTTGGATCAAATTTAATCACATTTTCAATTTTGTGTGCTTCAAATTTTTTTGCTTGCTTCATATTTGTGAATTTTTTTCCATTCATCCTTTCTCAGTACCATTTTTCTTCTTGGTGCATATGCATCTTTCTTATAATCATGCATTGCATGTGCCACCTACTCGTACCTTGTGCCTGATAATGGTTAGAAAGTGCTGGCATACATTGTTACTGATGTATTAAGAAGTTGATTTCTTGTTGAGAAGGATTACATAATCCATGCTTGTGTGGTTTCCAATAAAACCCGTGCACCAGGGTCATTCCTTCTCCACTCAAGGTTTCATTGCTTCATTCAACCAATAGTACTGGATGATAAAGATGTGCCTGTGTTAATGGAAGCTATATAGACTTGGCCAATACTACCATGTCCCACTTCTTCATTATCAAAATCAATGTGATACTGATCCATCAAAATCATTCCAGAATTTTGAAATGCATTAGTCTCCAGTCACTAGGAGCCATATCTTATTTCTTCTTCACTAGTAACCTCTTCTTTCAGTGTGGTTGATTTTCACTCAACCAAAAATTTCTTCTGTATAGACTTGGCTTATAACACCATGCCCCCCACTTCTTCATGGTCAAAATCAATATGATACTGACTGGTTTAAACTCATTCCAGAATTTTGAAATGCATTAGTCTCCAGTTAGTAGGTGCCATCTAGTAACCTTGTCTTTCAGTGTGATAATATTCACTCCTAACCTCGATCTTCTTTTACTGCACAGAAATGAAGCATGGATACAATGTTCAGCTTGTGGAAGATGGCCTATGATTTTGTGTGGTTAATACCCTAGTAATGCCCAGGCCTTGCTTTCATGGAGTTCAGTATGCTGCCAACCCAAGCATGGTTAGCCTTAACTGTTTTCGAGGCTTCCCATCAGAATTTCTCCAAGATTTCTCGACCTTCAAAGGGTTTTCAGTCCAGGTTGCTTGAAATCCAAGAAGAGCCATGCAGAGACTGAAAACTAAGTGGGTTGTGTATATTAGGTGAGTGTTTTCTTTGTGGCGTGAGGATTGTTGTAATCAGAAAAACCAATCTTCCTTCGAGATTGAGACAAATGAGCCTGCGCGTGACCAAAATGGCTGTTGGTGGTTCTGTTATGATTTAAGAAGCTTGTGTTATTGTTTTTTACTTATCAAAAGACAGTAGAAAAGAAAGAAACGCTTGTGGTGTATATAGTGTTGTGAGAGGTGTAATTGCATCTTTTGTGGAGAACTCTGAAATGATTTTGTGTTCGTGTCTAAGTCATTTGGTTTGCTTTCAGTCATTTTTATAAATTGTTACATTATGGTGATAACAATTATTTCTATCAAGGTTTGCAGTGAACTGTATTTCAATTTTTGTTATGGGTGGCGATTTATGTATTTGGGATCTCTCTCTCTCTATCTCCCTTGGTCATTAGGAAATTGGCCAGATAGTTTTAAGTGCATAATACATTCATAGCATAGTTTGAGTAGTGACTACTGAATTTGTTGATTCTAATACCTTTTTTAGCAATGCGACTGTGGGTCTTGTTTGCAATTAGATGCTATTACATGAGAATGTGGGACTGATTATCGATTCTATACTTGATGTTCCGCATCTTATCTTATCACTGGTTGAGTGTGTTGGCACTAAAATCAAGGTTTATATTTTTTTAATCTTGATGGAAAGAATATCATGCATAGTTTGGCAAGTTTCACAATCTGTTTTCAACTATAGATGACGTAGATAAGCTATCTATTTTATATTTGGTGCAAGAAGGGTGCAATCATCCTTAGCCATCCGATGCTAATTCTGATAGCTAGGCGTACTCTTAGCCACCTGATGCCAATTCTGATGGATAAGTTTGTGCCCTTTAACTGTGCTCAAAATCTAAAAAATAAAATTTATCAGCCGCTAAATTTTACATTGAGGGGTGAGGATGAATGTGACGTTCTAGCATCAAGTTCTTCCATCCTTTAACCATTACTAATAGATATGCGGGTCCACAGTTTTTAGTTTGTGCAGATGAACCCACTCCTAGCACTTCCAGAAGTTGTACACTTATTTTCACCCTTATTTGAAAAATACGGTTGGAAGCTCGTTTTGCTGGAGTGGCCTTCAGCCAAAGCCCATTTTCTCAAAAAACCTTTTTGCCATTTTCATCATTGAAAATGATGAAACCAAATTATTTGACCTAAGTCCAGATAAATAAAACTAAAGTAGCTTTGGCATTTGTTAAATTGGGGCTTTAACTGAAAAACAGAAACATTTTCGTTTTGGTCCCAAATACTATTGAAATAACCTTATTGTTAAAAAAGAAAGAAAGGAGGTAGGCTTTAGTTAGGGAGGGAAACCTATATTTCCTTAATAATAAGAAGTTATGAAATAGTTAGAAGCTATAATATAGTAACAGAACAAGATTCAGTGTAGTAAATTCTAATTAATTGAAAATAATATAGTTGCATATCAAGATTCGTGTAGCAAGATTTTAATCAATTGAAAAAAATGCTATGGTGATATGGAAAAACATAAGAGAGAGTATATAAGAGGGAGTGTGATGTCTTCATTAATCAATTTGAACAATTGACCCAATTTGAACTTAAGAGACTTGCCCAACTTGCACTCAAATTCAATTGAGGAGATACCAAAATGCAGGACCACAACAAAGTTAATAAATAAAGCGCGTAAAGGTTGGTAAACAAGTGGTCTTATCACCCGACCGAGTTTCAAACTTACTCCTCGTTCCCCACAAAATGTATCCAATTAGAAAGGCCTAAAACCGCAAATTGCGGGGAAGGGCCCAAGACTGGAACTACCCCTCTCTTATTTGTTTAAGCCCCCATCTCTCTCTCTCTCATCTCTGGGGAGGGCAGTTCCGGCATTTTGTGCTTTGGAATTTCCCCGCCCTCTGTCTACTCGAGGAGGAGGGCAAGGAGCGTGGAGTGCAGTGAAGATAATGAGGAAAGCACATAAAAAGCCGAGACAGAAAGCGAGTTTTGAGTGGTTTGAGAGAGAGCGAGTGGTTTTAAAGAGAGAAAGAGGAGAGTGTATGTAAGAGGGATTTTGAGGGAGAGAGGGGTCGAGGTTTTTTTGGATGGTTTATTATATAAAGCGATTTTTAGAGAGAGAGAGAGAAAGAGAAAGAGGTGTTTTGTGTGGGGCTTGCATTTCCCTGGTTCATGGTTTTTGGAAAAGACAAAAGGTGGAAGAGGAATGGCAACACTAAAAACCTGGGGTTAGAGGTGAAGTTAAAGGGGATGATGATATAGTTAGAGTTAGTGGGAGAGAGAAGATGGAGGGGGCAGAGGAAGAGCTGGAGAGAAGGAGCAGGTTCCTGAGCCAATTGATAGAGAAGAAGAAGGCAGGGGATCAGCAAAAGGAACAGCAGTTACTGAATGTGAAGGTGAGGGCTTCTGATATGCCTCTGTCTCTACAAAACGCTGCCTTTCGCTGCGCCAGAGACTCCCTTGACTCCATGCCTAAGCTCGACAGCAAACGCCTCGCCCTCGCCCTGAAAAAGGTAATCCATCTCTCTTTCTTTTCTCTTTGTCTCTTCTCTCTCCTCTCTCATGTCTCCATCTTTTGTTTCTTCTCCTTCTCCTCCTTCCCCTTTCTCTTCTATGAAAAACAACCTCTTCCGTTGCTTTTATTTGCTTTAGATTAATAACTCGTGGAAGCTCTCTTTCAAGTCGGAAGTTTTTGGTTGCTTCTCTTGTTTGGAAAAAAACAAAGATTGTTCATGAATTCTGCCACCCCATTTGTTTTCTTTTCTTTTTTGTTTGTTTGATTGATAATTCTTTTGATGAATCCTTGGTTTATCCATTACTGGCAATTGCATTGATGCTTTGTTTCTCTTATTGCCTCAATTCTTTCTTTTATAGTATCAGGGTCTTCAATAAATAACTGGCGTTTTCGGTAAGCTACTTAAAATTTATAAGCATATTTAATATCCATGTGGAAGAATTGTATGAACAAGCCATCTAATCTGACGATGAAGTTCATTGAATGCAGGGACTCATCTTTTTTAGTAAACTGTCACAGATTCCATGATGTTTTTGGGAAAAATGATTATAAGGGGTTGCCCTTGATGGATTTTTAGTTTGGCCTGCAAATTTAGATTCATCTTGGAAATGCTTAAATGAAAATGTGAAAGTATACTACAAACTATGGACCATGGGAAGGCACGGTCCTGTGCATGGAGTTACAGAGTCTGGCTCTGGTGCAAAGTTTCAAGTTTTCCACGAATGTGTGGATGCTTTAATGCCACTTTTCGTCCCCAAGATGTGTAACAATGAAGGACCAGTTGTGTAACTATGAAATACGTGTCTGACACATATTGGAGTGTCAGACACTTGCATGATGTCAGCATCTAGATGACATGCCCAATATGGCATGAACATGGATATATACCATTCAGGGACATTTTAGATTTTTTTTTGAGGATTTTGACTCTCTGACACGGCAATCTATGCAAGAAACTTGTGTCTAAGTTGGAAGGCACACATCTAAGTCGTAGACACATGTGTCTCGGTTATAAGACATAAATTTGAATTATCAATTTCTATCCATATCGAAATCGAACACTCCTGTTGGTGTTTCATAAGATTGGTTCCTGAGTGTTAACGTTTCAAAAAAAGATTGGTTCCTGAGTGCAACTGAAGCACATACCAATACGGAAATGTTGGGAGTAGAGTCCTGCTATTGTACCACGAACATAAAACCGACGCAGTTATCACAGTCAAATGGATTATGGCAGAGTGCCACTAACATAAAACCAACATAATTATCACAGTAAAGTGGATTATGGCAGAGTGCAGGCAAAGCTTCTCTACATACAAATATACAACAATTGCTTGATTGCCACAAATCGAAATCTACAGAAAGAAAGCTTTGCAGCTCAGGAACTGTAGCATTTGAGCACAAATTTTAAAAGGGATCTTTATAAAGTATCTTAGAGATATGGCCCATAACTGAGCCTTTAACTCAAAATGTGTCTAGAGAGAACTCTCGATGGGTACTAGAAAATATTTTATAGATTGTGCGAACGAGATCGAGAGAGAATAGAGAGACAACATTCTTTGAACAGTGAGAGTGGTATTCAACGAGAGAGGGGTGTTGCTAATTAATTAACTATAGGCCCCCTCCTTTCAGTCACATAGGCCCGTCCTCTTACACTCATTGCAGAGAGAGAGGAGAGGAGGAAAGAGAAAAAACAATATATTTAAAGCACTAGCAAGAAATAGTATTTTGTTTCTCACTAAGTTGTCTTGTGAATATTTCTTACTAGAGGAGGGATTTGAGTCCCTTATGGAGGGGAAGGGCGATATCACCTTTTTTGCATGCTGTTGTGGGGTCTAAAACCCACCACATAACAACAACACAATGAAAAACAAACATAAGTTACAATCTAGGAAAACAAACCTAATTTGGCCAATGCTTACTCCCCTCAATTGTCTCTCCAAGTTTCCTTTGGAGCTCTGAAGACCTCGGAGAAGATGAACTTTTGATAAGCACGATTTTGTTTTTCTCTTCCATGGTCACAGGACACAGTTGATGCTTTCAGTTGGTTGCCCTTTTTCAAATGAAGTGCTTGTGTTGCATCTCAATGCGTATTACCCTTACCTGAAGTACCTTGTAGCAGTATAGCCCAATTGTGAACTCCGTGTTTGCTTCATATCCTTGCCTAAGCCAAACACAAACTTAGCTGCCATTGAACTATTCTATACTCCACTTCTTTTGATCATCTCTTGCTGCTTCAAGAAACTGCTCCTGGTCCCAAGTTGAATTAATTATTGGGAGCTCATCGTGCAATCTAACTACCTCATGGGGAACTTCTTCCCGTCTTTCCTCTTGACTCATGCACTCACGAGTCCTTTTTGCCACGCACTTGATGCCTAAACTTCCCTTGCTAGTGCAGCTCTTTTTGTCTCATCCTTCAACTACCTGTTCAGTCATTGCAAGTTTGGCATCGGTTTCTTGCAATGTCTGTGAATACCAAGGCATCCTCTGGGTTCTGTGATGCAATTGGCCCCCGTCAGGCAAGCACTTGACTGTGGCATACCTTCTTCGGTAATCCTTTGAACACTCTACAGCATCTGCAAACTTTGTCACCTTCTTAGGGCTCTCTTTAAAACCTGGGCCTGTTGTCTAGACTCCCTTAGGGTTCTTATTTAAGTTGGGAAACAATACTATGTCCCCCTTCCGTTCAAAACAGAATCTGAAACGTCTACTTTGGTCCCCTTGTTATGTTTCAAACCCAAGATTAATACCTTGGCTGTTTGAAATCTGGAATCAATACCTTAGCTCCTTTGAGTTCTATTTCAAACCTGAGACCAATACCTTGACCCCTCTTGGGTTCTGTTGGGAGTCATTGTTAATTCTTGCATGTTTTCAGAGGGGCTGGGTGAGTAAGCATCAATTCGATTTTGTTTATTTTGGTTTTAATTAGTTTATTATTTTAGTTTCTCATTGTTGTTATTTATGCTAGTGATTCAAATTTGGTGACTTGGGCTCGGACTTTTATGTCACTTGGACGCAGGGTGCCTGGTTCAGAAACCCTTATACTCGGCTGAGTCTCATGGGGTCGGGACCCCTACTTTGTTAGTTTTAGAGACTAGCCTAGTCAGGCCACTGATGGGTGAGTTCGACTACTGTCCCAAGCTCCGAACCCTAGCGAGTCCTGACTGGTGTCCATGTTTTAAATCACTGATTTATGTTATTATTGTGTAGTGTTTTGTTTTCTTCACATTGATCATGTAAAAGAGGGGTTCTTCCTCTTACCTCTACAAAAAGGGGCTTGGACCACTCGAGTGTGCAAAACAAATAATCATGAACAATTTTGCAACAAATAAAATATTAGTTCACTATGGTGGTTCGGATATGATTTTCCTTTTCTCTTCCGAGTGGTCCTGCTAGCTTGCTAATAAGCTTGGCTTCACTCTCCCTTAATGTAATTTCCTTGTTCAAAAGATAGCTATCTCTCTCTTTATGATATTCTTTAGGGTATGTTTCTAGTGACTCTTGAGATTCTCTCTTGAGGCCCTTTTGTGAGGCAAGGCTCTTTATGGGCCATCTCTCCAATATATCCCTAGAGAATGTTTCAGAGCTTTTGTATGAGAAACTTTTACAAGCCACCACGAGTGGAATAGCAATTGCTAAGATATTCAAGCTGTGAGGCTACCTCAGTTTTGAGTTTGTGGCAATTGAGCAGTCGTTATTCACTGCAAAGCTTGCTTGTATTCCTCTATTATCCACTAGACTATGGTAATCCCATTGGTCCTTAGTGTTAGGGCCTTACTGGTATAAGAGCATGGTCAACACCCAACACTTGGTATACTTACGTGCTTCCACCACACCCTGGATCCCAATAGTTGCATTGGAGCAAGCTTTTGCTCATCCTGAGAAACTAAAACATTGGTAAGAAAGCAAGACAATGTAACCCTTTGAGTAGTATCTGAGCCGAGAACCAATTTTTTAACGCTACACATTGAAGTCATGATCGTCCAATATAGTGGTCAACAGATGGAAGAGTGGTATCCACATTGCGTTTTTTTGGCAGGTTGCACATTACTTCATTGGATTGTTATGACCTAACTCGCAAATAGCATGGTGGGATTTTTAGGACATTTGAACCATGGGAATCAATAGAAATTCTTGTGATTTCTATTCTTTGTGTTCCATTTCTCAATTTCTATACTGAAACCAGCTAGGCAAAACCTTCCATGTATGTAATGTAGCTGAAGAAGTAAATCCTAGATTAATAGAAAGTGGAGGAAAATGCATTGTGCAATTTGCAGGAAAATATTTTGCCGGAAAAATTTCTGATTTGAATCAAGGGTTTGGACTTTTAGTTCCCCAATGGGTGAAATACATAACATAAATAGTTAAATATCATTTGGCCTTTTGGGAATGTAACTTTTATGGCTCTAGGTTTATGGAGATGGTTGTCTAGGGCTTTTGATGATAATGTTAAAAGAAGTGTACTCTATATTGTGACATGCTTGGTTTGGTCATTCTAGCTTCAATTAGAGATGCAAGCTAGGGAAGTTTCTAGATGTCTCATACATTGTTGGTGAGTTTTGTTCAACATTTCTGTGTTCATCATGTCCATTAAAGACTCAAAGATACATTTAAGTACGTAGACTTCTCTTACTTAATGTAAATTTATTTGGTAATGTACATTGTGCTTCTTTAGATACATTCTTTAATATCGCATTTATTTATCTTGAGTACAACACTTGGATGTAAAGCATGATTTTACGGTTCTCTCGTATTTTAAATTTTTTTGTGAGTTATAGTTGATTCAGGGTTAAGTTCTTTGTATATTTACTGTAGTGGGGAATAAAAATAAATGCATACATGTTTCTTTGATCCTTGAATATGCATATGTTTTTCCTAATAAATTTCAACATCATATCATCAATTGTCTGGAAATAAGGTCATCAAAACTATTGTTGTCTCAAGATAGTACGTTAGTTTTATTTCTTCTACCAGAAATTAAATATATTCTAGTACACTGCAAACTTTTCTGTATCCTTGCTAATGGTACAAAAATAGCAGAAGCTTATCCTGTTCAAGATCTATACAAAATATTTATATTAGACAGATGACGATATTAATTCAATCCAGAAAACTGAGTGATGACATACATGAATTCCCTCTTCAAAATTACTCTGAAGCATCATGTCTGAAACAATGTCCCAATACATTCCATTTTCATGCAAAGAAGCTAATTTCAAAAACTCAAAAACCTACAAGATGAGATGCATAATAGCCAACATATAGAAAATCCTCAACCATATTGAAGTTCAAGAAAAGGGTTAGAGTAGTGGTGTATCTATTTATACTTTCTGTTCTAAATAGTGAGGTGCATAATCATCATCTTTGATGATTGTCCTAAAGGCGTGAACCTTTTACTCTTCTCTATATATTAGTGGTATATACTTTCTGTTCTAGAATGGAATCATATAAATCTTAGAAGTGCATGAGAAACTTTATGTTATAAGAAATTAGAAACCAAGATTGATGGATCTAATAACTCCAAGCTCAAGTGGACATGGCATGATACAATTACAGCCTCCTGGTTTTCTTGATGTTGGTGAAGTTAGGCATGAACAAGTTGTCCTCTGAAGTCTCAGTTGCTTGATTTTGCTTACCTGCTTGCTCTTAACCAAACTAAAAATAGTCAGATTGATGTATTCCCTTTTCCGAATAATTAACCATTCTCTAACATATCCATTGTATTGAACTTGTTGATATGATCAAAGCAAAGGTACACCAATAGATGTTTGGGCAAGTGAAAAATGCAACTTCAAAGCCAACATGATCAAATTGACACTCTGTTCTTTTATTCCATATCATTATGCTTGTGGAATGATCATTTCTTAAATCTTTCAATGACCTCATTTGACACTATTTCATACACATTTGCTGTCTTGCGGGAGAGTCATTTAATTGGAAAAATTTTTAGTTGCTTTTTTCTTCACTTAGAGACAGAATTCTGCCTGAAGCAAAGAAATACGCAGAGTCTGCATGTGTTCTATGGAGTTCCTGACCTCGTTACATGCAGAACACTATATAAAGCTGAAAAATGGCCTCTGGAAATAATGCCCTAAACCACAGCACCCCTATATAAGAAAGAAATTGTTGAATTTGATGTGGCTACCTGGTTTTCTGGATAACTAGGATGACCAGGCCCAAATAACGTATTTTTCTTGCAATTCTTTCTCCTGACTGTACCTTTCTCTCATTCTATCACCCTAAATATCTCTTTCTGTTTTCTCCCAGATTGTAGATATATCCTCTTCTTTCAAATCCAGAGCTTGAAACTCTACACCTTTTTTTAATAGCTCTGACCTGACCTCTTTTCCCTTTCTCAACAACACCCCTCCTCCCCCTTCTCTATCTCTCTCTCTCTCTCTCTCTCTCTCAAAACCCTAACCTCTCTTCTAGCGTGTCTCACAATCTTAATTTCCTTGTGCTGACACCTTTCAAGTCTGTGCTTACACTTTGCATATTGGTTTCCTTCAATTGATGATCTTCGCTCTGCAATAGATTTTCTGTGATTATTTGGGGCCTATTTGCTTTCTTGGCAAGTACAAAAGCACGTTCTATATACTGAAAATCACTCAGAACTTGAAATCATGTTGTATATACGTAAAAATACTTACCTTCCCGAAAGCACATTGGATATGCTAAATAATCTTATATTCAGAAGCGTGTCAGGATGTGCAGGAATAACCTAACTGAACCAGGGGTGAAAAGTACAAGGAGAAGTTCACAATCATGCGCCTTAAATGTGCATGATTTCTTGTTGTGCTTCCTTGAATTTATGTGAGCATTCTATTGATGGAGAGAAATAAAAAGGAAAAAAATGTTTCAAGAACATGCAAGCTAGCCTTGAGACTTGTGAGAAACATGTCGAGGTTGAATTTATTTGTGATCACTAGAGTCATGGCCTTGAATCTTCGAATCCATTCTTTTCAAGATCTTAGGTGTGAATGAATTTTTATTTTCATTAAATGATATTTAGGGATTAAGTGTCCTTTGGTGCTATGGCAGGAATTTGATGTATCATATGGTCCGGCTTGGCATTGCATTGTGGGGACTAGCTTCGGTTCGTATGTCACTCACTCCTCTGGAGGTTTTCTGTACTTTTCAATTGACAAGGTTTATATTCTTCTCTTTAGGACGGCAGTTGAGCCTTTGGACTAGAATGATATGCATGAAATGCTACTTCTTGAAATTGAAAAGAATGTCTCAACTTGAAAGATAAGCTGAGTTGTATATCTTGATCAACACTTGGTATGCAATGCATGGGGTCTTGGTACTTCCTTGATAACAATAAGTGTGGGTGCCACAGGAGAAAGGATGACACATGCACACAGACACACACATCATCATCATCATTATCATCCTCACCATCAAAAGGATTTTTTGTGTGTTTTTTTTATGATGCAGTATTTGGAAACCCGAATGAATATCCACATCCTTCATAAAAGGATTAGAAGTTATATATAGCAAAATGAAATGAGAATTTTGTTCAGTATGGACATGGTTAAAGAGTGCCATTAGCATGAGTCATTTCAAGTGTAGACAGGGAAAGGTAGCAATGACACTACGTGAAGCTCGTAGTATTGGGGTCGTACAATAGTTATGTCTCAGGGCAATGTTGAAGGTGTATCAAAAACATTAAATTTGGCAAGCATTAATGAATTTATGGAAAAATCATGCATATTCATGGTACTTGGATACTTGGCATGAGTGAAAAATGTTTCATGCATTGGATTGTCAATAATTGGTTGTCTGGTCCTACGAGACTCGCTATTTCTAAGCTAGAAATGCAGCATATAGCTCATGATTATGCATAATTCATGAGTTTATTTACGTATTGCTTAGAACAATTATATCCAAGTTAATGTGCTATTCCATATTAAGTGCGTAGATTTTTCAAAATGCCTGCCCTGTTTTGTTTCCATGCACTTTCTATCCACATAATTGAATTCTCCTTGAAGCCAGTTGTTGCAGCTGCTTATTTGCTGTTTTACCTGTGAATATCATACCATGGTCTTGTTTTGAGTGGTTTAACTCCTTGCTAATTACGTCAGAACGTGGTTTTGGTTGAGAAAGAGGCTGTAATCAACTAACAAGTTGGTTGGGCTTTCTTTCATGTAATTCTTCAATGGGGAAGAAAACGTTTTCAATGTGGGTACGATGTCTTGATTAGAAGGGTGTTTTGGGAAAAAGTTTATATAAGGTCTTAAGCTTGTTCTATACGGGTAAGGTGCACCTAAAAATCCATTAGTGAAGGTTGTTCCAATGCTGGAAAACTCTCAAATCGATCATCTCAACTTTGATATTGATAGACATAAAGAAAAAAAGGGATTCTAGTCCTGAAAATAGTTCATTTTTTAATACATTATCTTGACCGTCTATTTTCAAGATTTTCTAGTGCTTATAGGTTTTCTGAATCGTCGCCATTTCTGGAACTTTAAATTTCATAACTGGGGGCTACAATGAATTTTTATATCATCTCAAGTCTTTGCGGAACCGAAACTGCATTTTCGACATGGTTTTGGGTGCACCTTACTTTCATAGAATAATAGTATAAGGTTGACACCTTATATGAACCCCACCCCTGATTACGCGCCCTTCCCATCTATTTTTAATTTGAAATGAGACCTCGGAGGACAAAAATAGAAAGGGAAAGGGAACTGTTTAGGAAAAAATAATTTGGTTCACTTGACATTCACACAGACGGATCACGTAGACACATGTAAACATATAAAGTTTTCCTTTAAAATTATTGTTTAATATCATCATCATCATTTGAGCTTTATTTGAATTATTTGGGTTGGCTTCACCTTTCTTATATGTCCCTTCACTTTCCTAATATATCTCTCCCTCTTCCTCACTGCCTAAACCCTCATCTCTAAAGTCTCTTTCATTTGTTTCTAATGGTAGAGTCGCGTTGCTCATCTCTCATAGAAAATCTGTTGATTAATCATTTGAAAATTAGAAATTTGAATTAGAGCATCTAGGCTGAAAATTAAACACTATAAAATTAGTATCACTTCAAAAGAAATAAAAATTAAATTTTGGTTATATTAGTATTTTTTACTTGAAAAAATTTAAATGAGGCGTCAATATTTTTTTAAGACCTTATACTACAAAAGTGAGGTACACCTCAAAAAGCCACAGGAAAATATTGTTGACATTGGAGAGCTTGCCAATTGATCATTTTGACTCAAGATGTATGGTCATAAAAAGGATTTCAAGTTTTAAAAATAGACAATCCAAATAATTTGTAAATTATTTGGATCGCCTATTTTCAATATTTTTAAGTGTATATAATCTTGTTAGATCTGTACCATTTTTGGACATTTAAATTTCATAATTAATTATGGAAATACATTTTCAAGCTATCCTTAGGGTTTCTACCACTAGAATTGCATCTTTTCGCAAGGTTTAAATGTGTGCCTTACTTTCGATGCTTTATATAAAGGAAAAGGTTAAAATAACCCCGAGGTATTATTGAAAAAAAGTAAAGCCTCATCTCAAAACTCATTGAAAATTATAGTTACGATATGAAAAACTTTCAAATTAATCATTCGAACCATATTATTAAGGTTTGAAATCCTAATTATATATGCCACCCTTCTCCCAACCGTCCAATCTAACGTCTACGATGGCATGCCTAATACTATTTTATTTGTATTTTTCTTCAAATTATATTTCACACCAAGGCATGCCATCCTCTCATAGGGCGCACTAAAAAAGATAAAAAATATTCCTGACAAAAACAAAAAGACCAAACTATCCTTGAAACTCTCAGGGGTAGTTTGGAAATTATATTTTATCTGGAATTTTTTGTTTTCTGGGTGCATCTCAATGAAAGGATAGCACGTCCCAAATTTGCTCTTCATATGATTTGTAATATATAAAAAAAAAATATCATGCGTCGTAAGATCAATATCGAACACTTTAGGAGCTCACTTGAGAAATTATAATTGAAGTTATCCGAGTAGTCCATTCCGACTGAATGACTGGGACGGGGTGGCATATATAAGTTGGTATATAGAAAATATTTGAGTATATGAATATGAGTTTACATGTCGTAAATATTGTGCATCTTGTGACTCATATTCAAATGGCGCACTTCAAGCATATTTTCAATATATGATTCGAGCATTTGAATAAATGTTGCAGATGGAGTAAAATATATAAACATTTAAAAATCTTAAGTAGATAATGGGTTACGAGAGAAATCCTTTCATATTTGTGATCTCAAGTTCCAAATGATCAAAATATTAGGGTCAAATATCGATGTACGCTATAGCATAGGACCTTGTACAAAACTATATTCACAAAATGACCAACCCAATAAACAGAATGAGAGAATCGAAAATAGAGAGAGACATCAACACGATTTTATTCTTCACTAACTCCTCCTCCTACAAATGCCATTAAAACAAACAGGCAGCCTGGTTACAGAAGGAGGAGGAAGATGATGGCGAGGAGGAAGAACCCTTCCATCTTCAAAGAGAAGATTTTCTCCTCCATTCGCAGGAGGAACGAGAAAGCCTTGTCTCCTCTCTGCCTCTAATAAATGGCCCAGAGTATAACAAGAAGAAGACGCCACGACCTTCTGCTCCTCTTCATCTCCAATGCAGCACCACCAGCAACTCCTCTGTTTTCTCTTTTCTCTCTCTCTCCTCACTGGGGCCACACTTACTCCCATGAGAGCACCCAGGCTCGTGCTCCTCTCCTCAAAAAATGAAAGAGTCGACTGCAACACATGACAAACACAAATCAGTGGATAGAAGATGGGTTAGAGAGAGAGAATGTAGGTGAGGAAGATACAGAAGATGGGTTAGAGAGAGAGAGAGGAACCTCTGTGTCTAGGTCTGACGAAGAAGGGGAGCTGATGCTTGGAGAGATGATGACAATGCCGTAGCGTTCCATCTCCCGCCCCTTTCTCTCTCTTCAGTCTTTCTCTCTCTGTCATCTACTTTTGTGTTGTTTTTTTTGCTATTGAGACCCTGGGGTTTTTTCTCTTTTAAAATTCGCTCCATTTTGGACATTTCCTGGTGTCTTAATGGCGAGCCTTTTCTAGAGAAAGAAAGGGCGGCAACAATGGTGTAGAGAGAGAAAAGGCGGCAAGATAAAGGTGAACTTGCAGGTGAGAATGAATGATGATGCCGCCCGATTTGAAGGGTAAAAGGTCGTTGCATGGTTGCCAATAAAGTCATGTTTCTTCTTTGCACGGTACTGCTCAGCAACTAATCAAGGAGCCGATAAAGTCGTGTTTCTTCTTTGCACTGTAGTGCTCAGCAACTAACCAAGGAAAAATGTTATTAGTTAAGGAAAGTGGTATGTGTGTCGCGGGCCATATTTGGGGTCGCAATGGACCCGACTAGACGGTATATCCAATCTCGGATTCGGATATAGATCTAAATTTTAGATCGAAATGTTATTTGCCTTTTGGATCTGGGTCTAGCTAGACTCGATCCATACATGTAGTCATAAAGTATATGATGGCAATCATTTGTCTTTAGGTCCGCGTCTGGATCCGGATGCAATTATACCCGACTTGACCCATACTTGTAATCACAAGGGTATATGATGGCCATCATGTATATTTAGGTGCGCATTAGGTGTTCATATTGTCATAATATTCAAAATATTTACATTATTATTAGCAAAAAAGAAGAAGAAGCTCGTAGTCATAGGATATCACAGTCATGGTGTGACAATAGATCCAACCAGATCCGAGACTTGACAGGTCCTGGTATGCGTTCGAGTTTTGGACGTGAATGCTATTTGCCACACTAGCCATTTAACTACATTTGTCTCGGGCGGAAGTAGAGTAGCATACCCTTAAAAAATATTTAAATTCAATAATTTAATTATTTTTAGAAAATTATTAATTTTAACTTCTAATTTTTTTTACACATTAATAATCTCTATAATAGAGATTATATATATGGAAAATATACAAATAAACTATTTATTTTTTATACAAGGAGGTTAGTATTGTTTATCATATTCAAATAATAAGGTAGTTGTAAGAGTATTATTGATTAAACTCAAAATTCAAAAATAAATTCGCAATACTCCAAGCCATCTAATTCGATATCTAATGATTAAGAATAATTATGATCTCCTTGTAGCATCATAAATAGTATCATAGTAAATAAATGCATATAAAAAAACTAAATCCAAAATACAACTAAAAACTGGGTGAAGGGCTCCATATCTACATATAAGACTAGGGCTCATAAAACTCTACTATTATATAGTAGAGCGATTTGAGCGAGGATCTCACCACGTGCTTGTGTATAGCACAACTGCTGCGAATTGCGAAAAAGTTGATTGGGTCAAATTGGTGAATGCCTTAGTTAAGTCAAGGGTGCGGTTGTATAGAGCCTAGGCTCTAAACAATCAAATCAGAGCCTACCTTATTGGGAAATGTGGTTTTAATATTGGGAATCTTTATGATAGCTTCACTATATATTTTCATCTTTAATTATAAAATTTAAAGTTTGAAAAATAGTATCGATTAAGCAGATTTATAAAAACTTGAAAAACTTGAAAATTGTAGGTTTAAAAATGCCTTACAAGATGCATTATTTCCAACATTTGAAATCCATTTTTTTCTCATGTCCATGCATCTTGATGTCGAGATAATCAATTTGATGAAATGTAGGCATCAAAACAACATATTATACTAAATTTTTTGAGGTAGGTTCTAATTTGATTGTTTAGAGCCTCGGCTCTATGTAAACTTTTCTCTTTAGTGAAAATTGGTTAGGCCAACGGTAGAATCCGTGGGGTTGAATTTAAAAAAATAAACAATCATATAAATAATAATAATTGTAAATAAATTGAAGACTTTGTTAATTTGTTCCAACCCAGTTTAAAATCAATCAAATATTGGTTATATCAATTTTTAGGCAAACCTTTGCTTTGAACTAGATTGATTAAGGCAAAGAAAGAGTTCATTTGGTCTGACCAACGGGTTTGATCTAGGCTTGATTACTACAATGTCAACTTTATACTATAAAAGTAAGTCGCTCCTTACTAGCCATATATCAGGTGCCAAACTTATTCTCTAAATGTAAGACGTACCTAAAAAAGGCACTCTGGGTAGGTTCCTACGTTAGAAAAATCCTCTACATGATCATCTCGAAATGTTTGTATATGAAAAAGCAAAACTTCAACATTTTTTTTTTTTTAGTTTTAAAACTAGAGTATCTTGTACCATATTATTTAAACTGTCCATTTTTAAGATTTGTAAATGTTAGTAGATTTGCTCAGTTTGCACCATTTTTTTGAGCTTTAGATTTTATAATTAAAGGTGAAAACAAATTTTGAGGCGATCATATGGGTTCCTAGCACTATAACTGAATCTTCTTCCAAGTTATGGAAATGAGTGTGGCTTTGATTGTTTAAGGTTGATGCATGGTATAAACTGCATCGAAAGTTAATATATACATCTCATCATCATCAATGCATTGTCCTGATGATTTGGGGTCGTCTATGTGAATCTTGTTCCACCATTCTTCTCTATAAAGGTCATACTCTTAGTAAGACCAAAAGTCATTATATATTTTTTTACTACTTCTATCCATGTCTTTTTGGGCCTTCCGCTTGCCCTTTTAGAACCTTCCGCTTGAACCAAATTACACGACTTAACTGGTGTTGTAGTAGGCCTACGTTGCACATGGCCAACCCACCTAAATTTATTTTATCTCATCTTATCGCTTGTTGAGGCTACATGTAAAATCCTTCGTATATATTCATTCAAAATTCTATCATTTATTGTCTTGCCACTCATCTATCTCGACATCCTCATCTTATTTATGTTCATCTTATGGATATATTGTTTCTTGATCACCCAAATTCCGTTCTATAAAGCATGCCTGGTCTTACAACTGTTTCATATTTCTCTTCAATCTCAATGGTATGTGGCAATTACGTAAATTCTGGATATACATCTCCACTTTGCCCATCCAGCTCTAATTGTATGTACGACATCTTCTTCAATTTCTCTATTCTCTTAGATAATCGAATACCCTAGAGATTAGAAACAATCTTTTTTAGGTATCTATTTACTATCAATCTTAACTACTTCCTCATTTCTACTTCTATTATTATTAAACTTGCATTCTATATATTCTGTCTTAGTCTGGCTAATTTTATAATCTTTAGATTCTACAACATACTTCCAATATTCTAACTTTGTGTTGACGTCGTTTGTAGTCTCATCAATCAAAATTATACCATCCGCAAAGAACATATACCATGGTACCTCATCTTGTAGGTACCTGGTCAATTCGTCCATAACTAAAATAAAGAGATATGACCTTTGTATATCTCTCTCACTATGCCAATGTATCCCATTGGTGACTCCTTTCTTTTCCATCTCCTACCAAATTAAATGTCTAGGCACCGAATCATATCATCATCATCATCATAGCTTTTTTCTAATTAATTGAGATTGACGACACGAATCCTAATCATCTATTCTACTTTATTTAAGGCCATACGCTCAGTGAGGCTATAAGTCTCCATATCTTTTCAAACTACTTCCAATGATGTCTTTTTGGGCTTACCCCTTGCCCTTTTTAATTCTTTCACTTGAATTAACTCACACCTCCTAACAGGTGTTATATTGGGTCGGCGCCACATATCGCCCACCCACCTAAGTCTACTATCTCTCATCTTATCGTTTGTCTACCCAACATTCCACCCATAAAGCAAAGATAGTCTCACAATTGTCCTATATAACTTATCCTTTAGCTTCATTGGTATGCGGCGATTACATAAAATTCCAGTTGCACATCTCCAATTCACCCACCCAGTTCTAATTCTATGTGCGACATCTTCCTGAATCTCTTCATTTTTCTAAATTATCGACCAAGATATCGAAAGTATGATTTTTTTTATACTTCTTGGTCGTTAATCTTAACTACTTCCTCGTCTCTACTCCTATCATTAATAAATTTTCATTCTATATATACTCTGTCTTAGTCTCGCTAATTTTAAACCTTTGGATTATAGAGCCTCCCTCCAAAGTTCTAACTTTATGTTGATATCGTTTCGGATCTCATCATTCAAAACTATGTCGACACCTTATCATATGCTTTATCTAAATCAATAAAGATCATGCGAAGGTCATTTCCCTTTACCCTAAACTTCTCAATCAGTTGCCTAGGTGGGAAAATAACTTCGATAGTTGACGTTCTTGGCATTATTCTGAACTGGTTTTATGATACCTGACTCCAAAGTTGTTGCTCAACCACTCTCTCTCACGTTTCATCTCTGTCATTTTTACTAGTTTGAAGATATCTTTTCACTTTTCTTGTCCAAGAAAAGTTACTATATGCAATACTCAAAAAAATTAACGGGAGCATATATTATGCTCCCATAGGAGTATACTGTAGACTTGCTTCCTTAGATGAAAGAGCACAATGTAGCCTTGGGGATTTCATAAATTTCAGATTCTACCTAAGGATCACTATGATTATTTTCCAAATAGAAAAAAAAGATAAGAATTTTGAAGGCTTCGACGCTCAGGATTCACTATGCAAAAATATGGCAATCCGTTCAATTTTGAATGTTGCCTTTCATGCGTGCATAAATTGTCATTAGACATTTTCTTTTCTAAGATTAGTCGTGGGGTTATATCCACTAAATTTGGAGTCCTAAAGATGCATCTTGGGTTTACTCGAGAGAGTAAATAGACAATGTACTCCTGCAGGAGAGCGAGAAATATCTTGGCAAAGTTGCAGCACATGCACCGTGCTCCTTTTCTCCTTGGGATCCTTTTCATTGTAAAATTTGGGATGTTAGGTTGGGCCTCAATCAATCAAACAATTATTCATACAGTCTCGTCTTTTGAAGATTGGTAGGGAAGACCTGGCTTGAAAGAAACAGTAAATTTAATCAGAGTCTCGTCTTTTGAAAATTGCAATCCCTGTCATTACATGGCTTGAAAGAAAAAACCAGTAAATCTTTTCTTTTGTAGGTAATTCAGTCGGGAAGGCAGGTATTACCTGTTCTTTTATATAGATTCAGCCGGTAGCTCTTTCTAAAGGTATCATTGGGCGGTGTCAGTAGGATTGAAAACCATACGTGATAACCAAGTATGGAGGTGCTACTACCGTGCCCCAGTTTGTCAATAAGGCAAAGGATGTTTATTTTAGTGAAATATACTGTGGTGGCTACAATAGCT